AGGTTTAAAATGATCTAATCACAAGCAGAGAAATAAAATTGGGTTAAAGGGTTAGAATAGAAATTGTGCTTCAGTAATTTTGCGTTAATTGCGTTAAATTATTTTAACGCGTTAAGGATTGTAAAATTAATCGCATGCGTTAACGCGTTAACGATGACAGCCCTACTATGAATATAAAATTCAAGAAACTGGAAAACTAGACACCAGTTTTAAATTTTCTTACATTTTGGTTGCACAATCGACCACATTCAAAAACCCTTGCATTTTTATAATATTATTTTATAAATTATTCATAAATTAATGTTAAATTCTAAGTCACAAAGATCCTACAAAAAAGCTTCATTTCAAGTTAATTATACAAATTACAATATATTTTTATTTCTTGTTAAAAGAAATTTTAAATTTTGGGATAAAACAAGTATCTATGAATATGAAATACAAGTCACTGAAACTGGAAACCACATCTAGACCACCAGATGCAAAAGATAAAATCTGTTACATTTCGATTGCATGATCAACCGCTTTCACAAACCCCTGACTTTTCCCTCCACATCCTTCTGATGCAGCAACCACATTGAAATCAATGAATCCACAGCATAAACTAAAGGCTAAAACAGACACGCTGTGGCATAACACATGACACGACTCTTCACTGCGTTTGTGTGTTTCGTTTGCCACCAGTGCAGTTCTCTCATTTCACAGACACAAATAACATCCATGAGCGTCAGGAAAGAGTTCACCTGGGAGACCCGCAGCCCACGGGCTCCTAATTTAGACCGGAGCGGTCCAGATATAGCGTGGGTGCAGATGTCTGTCTGCCTGTGGCCATTCCACACCAGATTGCACAGACCATTACCCTCATAGAGAGATGCTTATCACCCACAAGGGCTATTAACCTATATAGGGCCTGGGAAACAGAGCACGCTGCCGTAGTAATGGCTAAACCTCCTTTACACAAGGATGTGCTTATAAACAGATGCGAGTGAATGAAGGAGAATGGATAGATTGGTGTTTCCAACATCTCCAACAGTGACGCCCATCTTTTCCAGTATTTTTCTCATTCATTTAGTCCACAGGCATCTCAAAAATCTCTTTACTGAGTCAGAAGAAAAACCAACCAACTCTCAGATGAACCAAAATACTAAAATATGTGACCATGGA